TACACACACTTCTTCTCCGTGGCTAAACTCTGAACTCCCAACTAGGAGCTCAGTGCATGAAGGAAAGTGAGTCTTTCATAGGAAATGAAACATTATTAAAAGTACGCATTCATTGGCTTTGTTTTCATTATTAAATGCATTGGACCAAAATATTATTTTAATTAAAATCAACATCCTAATTAGTACTGTGGTTTAGTGAAAAAGACAGGAAAGAGTACCTGAAAAATGACAAGTGGTAAGCTGTTAGTGGGAGCACAGCGGCTCCATAGGCTAAGCATTGGACTGGGAGCGGTTCGAACCCACCACCCGCCTCACGAAAGATGAGGGTTTCTGCTCCCACAAATGTTTACAGCCCCAGAAACCCTGTATAGGGTCGCTATGAGTTTGAAACGACTCCGTGGAACTTAACAACAACAAACTGTCAATCTGCTATGTGCATCTTAGATCCCAATGCCACAAAAAATGCAAAAACAAAACAAAAATCACTATTTGAAATGATCTTTTCTCCATACCAAATCAGCATTTTCTCATAGCATGCACCTGGCCCACAGTACTTTCCTGCTGCTCCACAGACCTAGTTCTTGGACTAAAATTTGACAGAGTTGCCTTAATGAAAAGCTTCCTTGTGTGAGAAACTTTATTAGAAATTTTTACATAGCAAACAGTGCTATGTTGCTTTGCTAATGAGTTGATTCCAACTCATAGCAACCCTGTATAAGGCTAATAAGGAGCATCTGGTGGGTGTGAACCACTGACTTTGTGATTAGCCATCCAGTGACTAATCATGATATAGTGCCAAAACAATGGTATGGCAAGTTTTATGTGAACTTGGCCAGTTTCATTGGTTTAAATCAAGTTATCTTATACTGTGGCATATGCTTCAGTTTGCCCACTTTGAGACTATGTGCATTGATCTTGTTTTTCTGCTTTCTGTGTTCTCTGTAACCTCTTTGCTTAAAAACGTATTATTTTTATGGAAAAGGTAGACATTTTATTCCTAGGTGAGGTGCTAGTCATGTTTATTTTACAGGTAAAGAGCCCTGCTTTCTTCCTAAAATAAGTCCCATGATTCATGAAATCATGTCATACCTAGATCAACAAGCTCACAGATCCAGAGCGTGTTCCAGATATGTGAAGTTTCATTGTCTCCATGGCCCCGTTAATGCAGAAAGGCAGGCACTGATGGTTCTCCAAAGCTGCCTTCGGATTACTAGCAATAACAATAACTAAACTCCCCTCGAGATGGCATTGGCCTTGAGTAATTTTTAAAGTCATTAAATGGATTTTCTATAATAGGATTGATTAATGAATAGGGTCCACAGAGATGATCACGTGTCAGCATTTAAAGCCTTCTTAAGAAGTATCTGTGTGGCACCAATAACAGAGGACACAGCTGGATCTAAGAGCTGACTTTGCCCTTAACATATGCCATGCCTTTTGCTCCTCAGCAACTTTCACTTAGCCCTTTTATATCTGTTAGATTTTGTTAAAATAAGGTTTTTCAGTAATGGAATACATGCTGAATAATTGAGCCATGTTAAAATTTTGTTAGATAGGATGGATTTGGGAAAATAGTATATGGGACATACAAAGGGGCTTCCAAAAGTGTGGAAAAATGGAATTAATAGAAATGGGATTTTTTTAGGAACTTTTTGAACTCCCCTCATATGTGCCTCTGGTCTCTAGAAGTAAGATTGGTGTAATGAGCCATGAGAAAGATCATTTGTTCATGGCAAATTTATTCTATTGTGTAAAGCTTTGAGAAGCATGGGGTAACACATAAAGGCACCCTGCAATGGCTGCACATGTATATAATTGTTCAAGAATCCTCCTGTTTTAGCGCTGCATTCTATGCCATGCCTTCTAGGTCTTTCAACAGGGGATCATGACTTCCAAGGCCCTAGAGATAGATAATCATGCTTGGACTGTTCAAGGAGCAGCAAAGAGAGGTAGAATTAGGACACAGACTAATAAACAGAGAGTGGCAAGAGATAATATCAGAAAAGCTACAGTCTGATAGACCAAGATCCACAAGGACTGCAGATTTTATTCAAAGTGAAATAGAAGACTGTTGGGAAGTTTGGGGCAACAAAGTCACATCTGACTATTGTGAAATAAGTCCGGTTTCTTTGTGGAGAATTACTCTAAGATGAAGCCAGGGAAACCCCTTAAGAGAACAGGCAGATGGTGGTGGTAATGGTGGTCAGGATGTTGGAGTAGGTATGGCAAGAAGTAGTTGCTATATTTTGAAGGTAGAGCCAATAGGATTGATTGGCGTATTGGATATTGGGTTTGCAGTGATGGGGTAGGGGTGGCAGAAATTCAGGGATGACTCCATGTTTTCTCACCAGACCAATAGGAAGATTAGAAGATTAGAGAAGTCATGTACTAAAGACTGATAAGGGTATGGCCAGATTTGCCAAGTTTCAGATGCCTGTTCCGTGTCTAAGTGGAGATCTTACATAGGGAGTCAGATAAATGAATTCAAGGTGAGAGTACAGGGCTTAGGATGTAAATTCTGAAATATAGGCTATAAAACTGAATGGAATAAGGAAGAGCTCCCATCCTGGAACCTGAGACACTCCAAAATTTAGAGATTAGGAAGGTGAAGAAGCTCTAGTAGCAAAGGAGACTCAGAAAGAGCAGTCAGTAAGGTGGGAGAAGAGCCTGAAGTTGCTTCAGTTTTGTATTGATTTTCTTGTACCTCTACTAAGATCATTTTTAATCTGAAAGGAAATTGCTTATCATTAAATTGAGTTGTTATGTGAAGAACTCCCGAGAAAAAATAAATGGGTAAGAATACAGATATTAATAGCTTTTCCTCCTCTTCCCCTCCCACAACTGCAAACTGCCCTCCAAGTGCTTTTACAATACATTCTAACATAAAAGCAATATAGGGAGTTGAGACTAGTTAGACATAAAACAGATCCTCAAGATACTTAAAGGAAATAAGAGATATATACAAATAAATATAATGCAAGATTTCCTTTAGGAACTGGTGTGTTTCCAACTTTATGCTAATAAAAATTGGGCAACTTTTTATGTCTCGAATTTTAGTCACTAAACTGAGGGATAAAATTGATGCTTAATTTGTATTAGGCTACAATTGAGGTTGACATATTTATATTGTGCTTCTTCATGTCTTTAATTTCTACTTTTATTTGTATTTTGCTGTTGCTTCATTATTATTATTCTAAGGTGCTTCATTCCCTATGAGACAAGTAGTGACATTAAGAAAAAATATATCCAAATGGCATGCTTTCTGATCCAGAAAATATTTTGTACCCCTCGTGTGGTGCTATAGAATAAGCACTGGAGATGCAAACCAGAAGATTGGTGGTTCAAACCCACCAGCTGCTTCTTGGGATCTCTGTACAGGGTCGCTATGAGCCAGAACTGACTCGACAGCGCTTCACAACAACATTAGAGTTCAGAGGACAGATATATTACTTCCTTTGTCATCATTCTCGTTTTTTCTCCACCATATTCCTCATCTTTAATTTAAGTTGTAACTATATATTACATTTAAACATTTTAAAAAGTTAACCAAAGCTTAGACAAAAACATGTCAGGAAGTTTCAGATAGAATCTTCCTTGTTCTTTGTTAAATATTCCACATCTTCTACAGTCTCTCACTGCTTTATTTAAAATCAGTTCTGCTACTCACCATGGAAAGAAAATAAAACAGCATGGGATGAGGAAAAACATTAACTTGTAAACAGGAGAATCTCATATTATAATATAATTTGTTGTTGTTAAGTGTTATCAACTTGGTTCTCACTCATCATGACCCTATATTGAGTTTCCAATGCCATAAATCTTTCTGGGAGTAAAAAGCATCATCTTTCTCCCATGGAGAGGCTGGTAGGCTCAAACTGCTGACCTTGTGATTCGTAGACCAGAGCTTATTCTACAGAGCTACCATGCTCCCTATAACATGATTATGATTTAGAATCTATAAACTCTAATGGCTGTTGCCATAGGAATCCTTCTTTTACTGAAACATAAATTGTAAGCATATCTTCTTGTTGTTAAGTGCCATCAAATCAGTTCTGTATAGGGTTTCTGAGGAGCAGCTGGTGTGTTTGAACTGCCAACCTTTTGGTTGTAACTGACCTCATGGTCCCGTGCTTTATCCTACAGTACCCCTCCTTAGATCTATTAAACTAACCTTTCCAAGAGTACTAAGATGCATATGTTTCCATTTGATCTGAGGACAAACGCTGGGATGTTAATCAGACTTTGTCATGTGTACTGTGATGACAAACAGTCCTAAATTTTCAGTGTTTTACAGCAAAGGTTCATTTCTCCTTTATGTTGGTGGTGGTGTGCTGTGGAGTTGGTTCTGACTCATAGCGACCCTGTATAAGGTTTCTGAGGCTGTAAATCTTTATGGTAGTAGAAAGCCTCATCTTTTCCCCATGGAACGGCTAGTAGTTTCTAACAACTGGCCTTGAGGTTAGCAGTCTGACTCATAACTTCTATGTTATAGGTGAGTTAACTGTGGTTCTGCCCCAAGTATCTTCTAGAATCCAGGTTGAAGGATCAAACCCTATCTGGAACATTCTGTTCTCATGGCAGAGGATAATGACAATGACAGATGCACAGAAAGACTCTTAAAGCTTCTGCTGGGGGTGGTACACACTTTTGCCAAGTCTGATGTCAGTGGGCTGGGAAAATATATTCACATAACGAGAGGATGAACAACTGAAATGAAAATACAGTCTGTCATACTGGGAGGTAAGATAGCCTGAATGGAGATTGTAACATTACTTAGGAACCATTGTGATGAAGTTCAATGGGCTATTTTATTTCCAGAATCATCACGACAGAATAAGTTCGAACAATAAATAAGAAATGGTTATTTTAGTGCCCCATCTGGAAATCTGTAGTGGTTAAGTTGAACTGAACCCTCCTGTTGCAGGAAGACATTTAACAGAAGTTTCTCATGTCAGATTGAACGGCAAGTAATGTGTCGTGTACCAATCTTCTGTTTTCAGTAAGAAGCGACGTAGATGAAGATGATAGTGTTGGGCAGCCCAATGCATATGACCTGAATGACAGCTTTATAGATGACGAGGAAGAAGAATATGAGCCGACAAATGAAGATTCGGACTGGGAGCCGGAAAAGGAAGACCAAGAAAAGGAAGATTTTAATGAGCTTTTGAAAGAAGCAAAGAAGTTTATGAAAAGGAAAAAGTGACTCCTTTTCTGAAATAGTATATAGCATTACATTTACTTTATCTTTATGGGGAAAAAAGTCTATAAACTAAGGAGGCATTAAAAAATAACGGTTTTCCTCTTTCTGTAGCTATGACTTTTGCTCTTTGTAGTTGGCACATTGAACTGTTTTGTGTAGTGGATGGAATTTATTTTGTTGCATTGCTTTTTTTATCCTATTTAAAGCATTTGGAAACAGGAAGTAGAACAATAAAGAATAATGTTATTTTTCATGTGCTTTGTGTGTTGGTAATAAAAATTAAAAACTATATGTTTACACAAACTTTTGCCTCTGTCCTATTTTCAAAGACTGTTTTTATAGGATACTATGAAAAAATAACCAGGCAAATGAAATCATGGATAGGAAAATTTGCATCTTTTATGCTATTAAAGTAATTCTTTAAAAATGGCAGCCATCATTTTTTAGTGCCCTAGATGTGAGCTCTGTGATTTCATTTACTTTCATTCTTTGAGTCTTGAGAAATTAGTACCAAATGTATACTGAAAATAGGTTCAACCAGGCTATAGAAGAGAGATATTGGAAATGTTATTTTGTATCCCACATTACTGTAATTTAACATACGTTATCTGATTTTAAAAGAACTTGAAAGTGTGTTTTTGAAAAAAATACATAGTTTCATATGGCTATTTGTTTCTGAACTTTTTCATTGTGAATTAAGTGAAGTTTACAGAGAATATCATCAGTTTTATACTCAACAAATCATACACTTTGTTTCCTCTCAATGATTGTAATCTCCTCCACGTAACAACTGATATTTCACTTCCTCTCTGTGGTTCTTATTTCTAGTCTTCCCTGCTTCCCATCCCTTCTCAACTTTGTTCTTAGGTAAATGTTGACTTTTGATCTTGAATGGTTGACTATTCCATGATGAGCATACCTTACTAATACTGTTCTAACCCCTGTATACTACCTACTTCTTGGCTAAAAATTGGGTTATGAGAGTGAGTTCTGTTCCAGAACTGAAGGGTAGCAGAAGGCCATACTCTTAGATTCCTCCAATATTTCTGGCGAGTAAGCTTGGTCTTTTTTTTTTTTTAAATAATTTTGCACTTTGTTGTATTTTCTCCCCCTATATCCCGGACTGGAGTCTTGATGTAGCGCTGTGGGTTAAAGCACTGCACTGCCAAGTTGGTTTGAACAGCAAGGTCTGTGGTTCAAGCTCACCAGTCACTCCTTGGATACTCTGTACAGGGTTGGAACTGATTCGACAGCACTTAACAACAACAACACATCCGGAACTTTCCAGTGTGAGTCCCTTTCAGAGCAGTTAGTAGTGGTAACCAGGCACCAGAGTTGTGGAGACTGATGTTCACATGTCCATTGGTCCATTGGACTATTTGATTTCAAGCATCTTCAGTTTTCATCACTCTTCTTTATTCCGCACATGGAAAGACCAATAGTTGCACTGTTACAGCAGTTTCAGATTCATGGATGAAGAAACTGAGGCCACTCCGAGGGGTGAAGCAGAGTTTCAGATTTTATTAAGCTGGCTGACTCAGAGGAGCTAATTTCTCCAGATTCTGAGTCCCAAATGGAGGGTAACACGGGCTTATATGGGGTCAGACTTGGGGAGGGGCCAAGCTGTATACCTGTTTGAGGACAGGAGGAAAACCAGTGGGATTGGTCCCATTTGGTGACCTGATTAGCATTTTAGCTTGTCTCCTGGGCAGAGAAGATAGTGAATGATTTTTACCTTTTCCTGTTCATTCCCCCCTTTGATGCTCCTTTGGGACCGTTTTCCCAGGGGCATCATCTAAATTATTTGTAAATAACCAAAAAGTTTCTAGAAATAGCCTAAATGTTCATTAACTGATGAATGTGTGGCCAAAACATGACATATCAATACAATGGAATATTATTTGACCATAAACTGCAATGAAGTACTAATGATATGCTACAATATGGATGAACCTTGCGAATTTTCTAAGTGAAAAACACCATGCACAGAAAGCTATGTATGAATTCATGTATATGAAGTATCCAAAATAGGCACATTCATAGAGACAGAAAATAGATTACTGGTTTCCTAGGGTTAGATGGTGTAAAGAGAAATGAGAAGTGAGACTGCTAATAGGTTTAGAGTTTCTTTTGAGGTGATGAAAATGTTCTAAAATTAGATAGTGGTGATGGTCATTCAACTTTGTGAATATACTGAAAATCACTGAATTAGATGATAAGGCTGACACTAATCCTTTAGAAAGTAAAAGACATTTTTTAGTAATTGAAGATATACCTGGTATTACAGAGTAATGCACCATGGTAACTTTTTTTTTTTTTTTTTAAATAATATTGAGTTTTTAGTGAACATTAACTCTGCACATTAGGTTCTCATGTGAGAATTTGCTCACAAAATTGTTCAGTAACATGAATTCCATTGATCATAATGTGTCAGCATGCTCTTTGTGTTGTTTTTTTCCTTGTTTCTAGTTTCCCTGTCCCCTTATCTGTTCATCTTTGCTTTTGAGAAATTGATGACATTTCTTTCATGCTAAGGGTTTTTAAGTAGGGCTCTGAACTGAAGGTGAATATCCTTTGGTTTGTGTTTCACTCTATTTCACTAAAAGATTATCTCAGAGAGTAGGTTCAGTTCTAGGTTTAAAGAGTGTCACAAAGCAACAGTCTCAGAAGTTCCTCTGTTCTGTACTGTTTCAGTTTATCTAGCTTTTTGTTTCTTTTTTAAAGAACACATGCAGCTCTTGTCACTGAGAACTACAGGTATGTTGGTGTAAATTTGAATAATAGTGTTACCTGGTCTTCCTTGTAGGTGTATGGATATTTTCTTATCACAAACTGTTTGGTACTTCAATATAGATCTTTAATTGTTCTTTTTGATGATGAATGCAATGCCATTCCTCTTCAGTTTGTCATTCCTGGAATAGTAAGTCATGATTTGTCAGATTCAAATTGGCCAATACCAGCCCATTTCAGTTCATTAATGCCCAGGATATCAGTCTTTATGTGTCCCATTTCATTTTTGACAACTTCCAATTTTCCTAAGTGTCATACGTTGTACATTTCATGTTCTGATTGTCACTAGCATACCTGCTTTGTTAAAAGCCATTGTCTTGGCTCCAGCTCATAGCACAACATAATGAAACACTGTCCTGTCCTGCGCCATCCTCACAATCATTGCTACGCTTAAGGCCATTGCTGCTACCACTGTGCCAATCCATCTCCTTGGGGGTCTTCCTCTTTTTTGTTGATGCTCCACTTTACCAAGCATAATGCCCTTCTCCAGGGACTGGTCCCTCTTGATAATAAGTAATCTCTAAAGTTGGAGAGACTAGGGGCAAATTAAAGAAGAATTACATCACATTCATTGTAAAAAAGAGCATTTTAAGATCTATGTTGAAGTACAAACCTGTCTGTGATAGGATTTTATCTATGTGACTACAAGGACAACCAGTTAATACCATTATTGTTCAAATTTGTACACCAGTCACAAAAGCCAGCAATAATGAAATTGACAAATTCTACCAATTAATTCAGTCTGACATTGATCAAACATGCAATCAAGATGCATTGATAATTACTGATGATTGGAATGTAAAAGTTGGACATAGAGAAAGGATCAATCATTGGAAAATATGGGTTTGGTGATAGAAACGATGCTGGAGATTGCATGATAGAATTTTGCAAGACCAATGACTTACTCATTACAAATGCCTTTTTGCAGCAACAAAAATTTGCATCTGTGGGAAAAGACAATGGAGAAGCTCAATGTTATCAGCCAAATCAAGGCCAGGGGTCAATTGAGGAAAAGATCATTAATTGCTAATATGTAAGTTAGACTGCAATTGAAGACAGTTAAAGCAACACGAGATCCAACATATGACCTTGAATATACCCCTTTGGAATTAGAGATTACCTCAAGACAATGCTTGATATATTAGACACTGATGATCAAGGACCAGAAGAGTTGTGCAGTGACATCAAGAACATCATACATGAAAAAGTCAAAAGGTCATTAAAAAGACAGGGAAAAAAGAAAAGACCAAAATGGATGCCAGAAGAGACTCTGAAATGTGCTTGAATGGAGAGAGTCTAAAGCAAGTTAAAGAGCTGAAAAGAAAATTCCAATTGCAATTATAATGAAATGTGCAAAGACTTAGAGTTAGAAAACCAAAAAGTAAGAACACACTCAACAATTCTCAAGCTCAAAGAACTGGAGAAATAAATGAAGCCTCATATTCAATATTGAAATATTTTATGGGAAAAATATTTAATGACCCAAGAAGCGTCAAAAGAAGATGGAAGAACAAGAAAAACGAGCCACAATCTGAGAAGATATATGCACACCAATGTTCATAGCAGCACTATTTACAATAGCAAAAAGATGGAGGCAGCCAAAGTGCCCATCAACTGAAGAATGGATAAACAAACTGTGGTACATACACACAATGGAATACTATGCTACCTTGAAGAACAACAAGG